TATAAAGGGAAATTAAACCCCTTCCTCGGAGAGAATTTTGAGTGTTAGCCATCTCTCGGTCACTGGCAAATAAAGGACTCTTAATTTGGAACCCAGAGGGTGACACTTTCCTTCTGACTTGCTTGGTTACAACAGCCTGGCCAACATGGAAAAATCCCGTCTCTACTAAAAATACAAAATTAGCCAGGCATGGTGACACATGATTGTAATCCCAGCTATTCAGAGGCTGAGGCAGGAGAATCACTTGAACCTGGGAGGTGGAGGTTGTGTTGTACTGGCCCGAGCATAGAAAGTCAACACCAAGACAAAAGTATGCCAAATTGCAGGGTCTTCATTGCCAACGGCCACGAGGACTCGCATCTCTCCAACCTGTGGCCCCGAAAGGAGGGTGTCAAGACCTTTCGTACCCATAAAACCACCTCGGGAGTGAGGGTGAGGGGCGGGGGTGGGGTTGAGGGGCTTCAGACATTCTGAGGGCTAGTGGATTCTGTAAATCACTCCCCGGGCAGGGATGAGGGTGAGGGGCTCCGGACATTCTGAGGGCCAGGGGACTTTTGACATTCTGATTGTTACTTAAGTGTTCACAAAAGTCAAGATTAGCATTTGTTTACACATTGTCTGGGTAGGGTGGAAATCACAGTCCTTAATTACTTATTCACATTTGAGTTATAGAGAGCAGTTTCCACAGAAAGCCAGGTATGGTTGAGGTATGCAGTTTTATGGGGCTTTTACCATGTCACAGTTGCAATGAGCTGAGATTATGCCTTTGCGCTCCCCACTGGGCAACAAGACCAAAACTCTGTTTCAAAAAATATATATATGGTTAATATCCTTAGAGAGGCATGAGGAGATATTTCTTTCATGGAACTAGAACAGAATGCTATGAAAGAAAGAGGGAGGACAGGAAAGGGGGAGAGAAAAGAGACAGAGAGAAACTGACTCAGACAACAAAGAATTCTTTATATGTTTTAAAATCATGATAGCAGATAAAGGGCTAGTAGATACACTTAGGGAAATCTCTCAAAAGTAGAATAAAAATAAGAAGAGAATGACAGACAGAAGAGAAAAATATAAGGATGTTAGAGGTCCAATCTAGAAAGTCCAAAATTCAAATACTAGGAATTACAGAAAGACAAACACCAACAAACAGAAGACAGAAAATTAAGAAGAATAATTCTGAAACATTTCCTGGAAGTAAACTAGTATGTTTCCAGATTGAGCAGCTCACAACGGCCAACAGGCACTGGGTAAAAATAGAGGCTCGCAAAAGCATCATGAAAGTATATAACCACAGGCAAGGAGAACATCTGACCAGTTCCAAGAGAGAATAGACCACACCTGAGCTGCAGCAGGGACCCCTCTTAGAGGCTGACAGCCCCTACAAGCATGGAAATAAAGGAACATCTTGAGTTTCTTCCCCCCCCCGCCCCCCGAGACACAGTCTCACTCTGTCACCCAGGCTGGAGTGCAATGGTGCAATCCCAGCTCACTGCAAGTGATTCTCCTGCCTCAGCCTCCTGAGTAGCTGGGACTACAGGTGCACGCCACCACACCAGGCTAATTTTTGTATTTTTAATAGAGATTTCACCATGTTGGTCAGGCTGGTCTCAAACTCCTGACCTCGTGATCTTCCCACCTCGGCCTCCCAAAGTGCTGGGATTACAAGATGTGAGCCACTGCACCCAGCCTTGAGTTTCTTTAAGGGAAATTCCAGGTACCTACCTAGCCTTGAGAAGTAAATAGGCAACCTAGTAAACAAGAAGCTGACAAGAGCCTCACACAATAGCCAAGGAAGTCAGAGCCACAGAATGTTTGGTTCCCTACAGAAACTAAACATTACACCTTAACAATGTTCTTGAGTTGCTTTTCAGAAACCTGGACCATACCACATGGAAAATATCATCTACTGGCATGCAGACCTCAGATAAGAGAGAATTGAGAACCGAATTGTGACCACCGTTCTCTATTCTAAATTTCTTCCTAAGGGGACTGGAGGAAGGCATACCCACAGGTCAGAGCTCAACATTCCTTTCTACTGACCCCAAGTTTTTAGACAAAGCTTAACCAATCACAAATCGGAAAATCTTTGAATCTATCTATGACTATGAGCTTCCTCACTTCAAAATGTCCCACCTTTTCAGGCCAAACCAATGTACACCTTCCATGAATTCATTTATGACTTTACACATAACCTCTGCCTCCCACCTTTAAAAACCCTTAAGTTTGGGTCTTAAGCCCTAGCTACCTAATTCTCGTTGGCACCCTGCAATAAATTCCCCGCCTTCACTGCAATCACAATGTCAGTGTTTAGCTTTGCTGTGCTGGGCGGGCAGACCAAGGTTCAGCTTGGTAACTGATGTAGTTTGGATGTGTGTCCCCTCCCAAATCTCATGTCGAATTGTAACTCCCGGTGTTGGAGGTGGGGTTGGTAGGTGGCGATTGGATCACGGGGGTGGATTTCTCATGAGGGGTCTAGTGCCGTCCTCTTGGTACTGTCCTTGCAACAGGGACTGAGCTCTTGCAAGATCTGGTATAATTTGGATTGAAAAGAGTCTCTGTTTTAATCACCTCCACTTTGCCAGCTATCCAGAACTGTTGAGCTATTGGTAAACTGGATTATCCTTCTCTCCTGCATTTTTGTTTAAGAATTATCTTATCTGGCTGTTTGCTATGTGTGTGTATTTTTTTCTGTGTACTTGCCATGGTCTGAATGTTTCTGTCCCATGTAATTTATGTGTTGAAGTCCTAACCCCCAGGCAATGGTGGTGTTAGGAGGTGAGGCCTTTGGGAGGTGATTGGGTCAGGAGGGTGGGGTGGAGCCCTCATAAATCGGAGTAGTGTCTTCCTAAAAGAGGCTGTCACCCCTTCCAATACATGAGGACACAGTGAGCAGGTGCCATCTGTGAACCAGCTACCTGGCAGGCTGAGGCAGGAGAATCACTTGAACCCAGGAGGCAGAGGTTGCAGTGAGCCAAGATGGTGCCACTGCACTCTAGCCTGGGCGACAGAGTAAGACTCCATCTCAAAAAAAAAAAAAATGTGTCTTCAGGGAGCAATAATGTTTCAAAGGACACATCACCCTCCCACCCCTGGGTGATGAAGGCCCGTGTCCTACAAGGCCAGCCCAGCTGAGGTAGATAGACCCTGCCTCTCCCTCCAATCATCCCAAAGCAAGATTTTCCAGCCCACAAACACCAACAACAGTTCTTGGCAATTACAAGCATGTTTACCAGGAAGGCTGTTTCTCTACCTTTTAAAAGTCTGTGGTTGTGATTCTCACACAGACACAGACACACGCACACACACACATGCATGCATGAGCACACACTTTATGGGCACTCTACATGCAAGAGATGTCCACCCAGTTCCCAAGAATGTGTGATTGAAAATACCATAATTAAATAAATATGCCATCTCTGAGTTTTGGAAGAAAACTGCATTCCTACTTGACTTACTTGGGGCGTAAATAACAATCAGGTTAGCTTAAATGCATCCTTAGTCAACCTTCAGGGCCCCCAGGAGGCTGGGTCTCAGTGTTCAGGGGAGGGAAGTTAACTGACAGCACAGAGGATGGGGGAGATTGAAGGGACTAATTAATCCACAGCTTATATCTCAGTGGCACGAGTGCACCGAGTACCACACACTGGGCTTCTTTACTCTGCTATTTCTGGCCCTATTGGCGTCAGCTTTGCTCCAGATTCCCAGCTGAGGAACCCAGCAAGCCAACCAGATCTGTAGGTGAGGGCTTGGCTAGAGATTTCCACAGTTCCAGCTGATCAGATCAGAATGAGGCTGGAAAGAAACAGGGAAGAACTACCAGCAAGAGGCCACAAGGGAGGCTGGGACAGTAATCTGAACTACTGATGGCTTTCCTACCATTAACAAAGATTGTGAATGGGCTTTCTGTTTACGTCAATGGATTATTAACTTTCAGATAACACTGAGGTTTGATCTTGAAGATGAAAGCACGCCCTTGAAAATTTCATTGCTTTCTAGGATATTGCAATGCTATTACAAATAAGTGTAAAGAAAACAAAGAGAAAAAGGATATTCCAAGATGACACATAATTAAAAACTACCACCTGTGACAAATAAAACGTATTTAAGCATGCTATTTGTCAAGAGGCTCCTTTTCTTCCTACTGGCACTTGGACTGGAATGAGAAAGAAGGAAATAGGCCTGTTTATTAAAGCACACCACTTGCAAATTTTATTAAGATAGTTATGAAAGTATATCATTAAAATAAACAGATCACCAGAAAATGTTATCAATAAATATATTATGTGACCTGAAGAATTGCATAGATTTCCAACAGCTCAGTATGAATATATGAGGATTCTTTCTTTTTTTTTTTTTTTTTTTTTTTTTTTTTTTTTTTTTTTTGAGACGGAGTTTCGCTCTTGTTACCCAGGCTGGAGTGCAATGGCGCGATCTCGGCTCACCGCAACCTCCGCCTCCCGGGTTCAGGCAATTCTCCTGCCTCAGCCTCCTGAGTAGCTGGGATTACAGGCATGCGCCACCATGCCCAGCTGATTTTTCGTGGTTTTAGTAGAGACGGGGTTTCACCATGTTGACCAGGATGGTCTCGATCTCTTGACCTCGTGATCCACCCGCCTCGGCCTCCCAAAGTGCTGGGATTACAGGCTTGAGCCACCGCGCCCGGCCCGAGAATTCTTTCTTAAGCACAGATGGATAAAGATATGCAAAGAGTAGCAAAAATACGATAATACAAACAAGCTGCATGAACAAAATAGGGAGTGCATTATTTCCTGAGCAATGGCTGCCGTCTACCACAGTTTAGTGCTTCTGCTCTGAAATACAATGGAATCACACCAGCAGAGGAAGGAACCCAACATGCTCCTCTTTGCCCAGCATCTGCAGTAGAGAAACAGGACCTGTCCTGGCCCTCTGAGGTCCCTCCCACTTCAAGCGGAGAAATTCTGGAAGACGTCGGCCGCCTCCAGCCAGTTCTGCAAGCAGGTCAGCCCGCGCTCCCGGATCTGCTTCCGCCCTTGGTTGGTGATGACCTCCCCATTTTGTTTCACAATCACAAGTTTGGGGATGGCTGTGACGTTGTACCTCTTCCTCAGCTCGCTGCAGGAGAGAAGAGTGGTACCGAAGTTAGCACTTCCGCATGCACATCTGAAGTGACAGGCCCCCTCCCTCCAGCCTGAGGTATGCCAACTTGGAGGAAGCCACCAGGTGCCCCACTCTGCCTGCCCCTGCTCACCCTCCGCCTGGAGTGCAGGTTCCTTTCTTCTTGGTGCTACCATTTCTTTTCTTTTTTTTTTGTTTTGTTTTGTTTTGTTTTTGAGACAGAGTTTTACTCCTGTCACCCAGGCTGGAGTGCAATGGTGCCATCTCAGCTCACTGCAACCTCCGCCTCCCAGGTTCTCCTGTCTCAGCCTCTTAGTTGGCCAGACTGGTCTTGAACTACTGGTCTCAAGTGATCCACCTACCTCGACCTCCCAAAGTGCTGGGATTACATGCGTGAGCCACTACGCCCGGCCTTGTTTCTAACCCAGTTCTGCCCCAGAGAGCTGCCTACAGCAGTGAACTCTCCCTATTTGTGCTACCCAGTCCCACAGTCACCAGCCACCTGTGGCTGGGAGAGCTCAGAATGTGGTTAATGTGCCTGAGGAACTGAAGTTTTCATTTTAATTATCTTTTAATTTAAATGTAAGGAGTCACAAGTGGCTAGCGGCTACCAGATTGGATACAGTAGATCTAAACTCGCAAATGAACCCAATAATTTTTTATGTCCTCTACATCTCAAATGGTTAAAAAATATCAGGTACATATAATGGTAAAAGTTAAAATTCCATCCAGGTGTGGGTGCTCACGCCTGTAATCCCAGCGCTTCGAGAGACCGAGGTGGGAGGATTGCTTAAGCCCAGGAGTTCAAGACCATCCTGGGCAACACCATCTCTACAAAAGTTAAAAAATGAACTGGATGTGGCGGTGCGAACTATAGTCCCAGCTACCCTGAAGGCTGAGGTGGGAAGACCGCTGGAGCCCAGGAGGTAGAGGCTGCAGAGAGCCTCGTTAGCGCCACTACATTCCAGCCTGGGCAACAGACCCTATTTCTAAGAAAAAAAAAGTTAAAATTCCATGAGTTTTAAATACATCTAGAGCCTCATTTGACTTTCCACCCTACAAATTCAATGATGCGTCAATTGCCCTTATAATGATGAGAGGTTTCTTAGCCTCATTTTACATCACTGACATTTACAGTATCTGTAACCTGATGAGTGGTCTTTTTACAAAATAATTTGTATTTGTTTAGGGAAAGAAGGATCTGCCTCCTTGTGTCTGGTAGAGGACTTTTGGCCCCGTTCCCCAGCCATGTGGAAAGGGCCTAATTCCCGATAAGGAAAGCCCTTCCTCCCTCACAGGGAGGGTCCCTTATCTCACTCTATCCTGGCCCGGCCCAAGACCAGCGACCTTCCCGCCCAGCGGCCCACTGAACCAATCACCATCCGCCCCACCAGCTCTCCCGTAACCTCCCGTCCCACAAGCTCCCGCCCGGCAGGCTTCCTGCCCAGCAACCAACCTAGACAATTACTACCCGCCAGGTCAGCTCTCCTACCGCCCCAGGCCCTCTGTCCCTATAAAGTCGACCGAACAAAGAAAGCGCGTGCGATTCCTCCCTTCCCGCTTGAGTCGCCCGGAGATCCCAATAAAGTCGGTACCGGTCACCACGCATCCTGCCTCGAGTCTATTGAGGGCCTGCCTCCGTGGGTCGGGGTCCCACAGCCGGGGTCGCACAAGTGGTGCCGAAACCCGGGAGCGCGGGCTGCCGGCCCGGCCGCAGCCCCCTCCTCCGGCGACCCTTTTTTGGATCCGACACCTCTACGCTCCGACTAAGGTAAGTTCATTTTTTTCTCTTGCCTTTCCTTCCACGTGGTGTGCACAGTAGTCCCTCCCAATTCTCCGGACCCCTCGCCTAGCGTCGGCCGACCCGAGGAAGGTCCTCCGTTCCGGCTCCAGAAGCCCCTCCGGGAACTGCCAGACAGGGGACGCCCTCTCTGACTCTTCCCTCCGTTAATTCTCTGGGCATCTGCAGTGCAAGGGGGACGCCTCTTCCTGCATCTACCCAGCCGTTGGCAGGGAACCACTGCTGCGCACGCCATGGGGAACGCGGAGTCCAAAATACCCCTTAACACCCCTCTTGGGTGTTTATTGCGAAACTTCTCCAAATTGGGATACTTGCAAACCCTGAGGCGAAAGAAACTCATTTTCTTGTCTCAAGCGGCATGGCCCCAGTATCAGCTTGATAACCAGTCACATTGGCCCCCCGACTGGCCCTTTCGATTCCAATATCCTTTGTGACCTTGACAATTTCTGCCGCCGTACAGGCAAAGATCGCGAGGTGCCTTATGTACAGGCTTTTTGGGATCTCTGTACCCACCCGGACCTTTGTTCCACTTGCTCTACGCATCAGGTTCTTTTAGCCCAGGTCCCTCGCAAAACCACCTCCGCTATCTCTATTACTTCTCCCCCACCTTACTCAATGCAGGAGGATCTGCCTGAACATCTGTCTCCTCCCGCCAACCCTAGCAACCAGTTACCGCCAGCCGTTAGCCCTTCCCCCGCTCCCTCCGCACTTCCTGCCTCAGAGGCCTCGCCTCGCCCTTCCCCCACTCCCTCCACACTGCCTGCCTCAGAGGCCTCGCCTCGCCCCTCCCCCACTCCCTCCGCGCCTCCTCCTTTGGAGACCGCACCCTGTCTTACCTCCCCGGTAGCAGCCCATACCCGCTCACATCAGCCCACCCTCCTGGCTCCGCTTCGAGAGGTGGCCGGGGCGGAAGGTTTAGTTAGGGTACACGTCCCTTTCTCCCTCCAAGATCTAGCACAAATAGAAAAGCGCTTAGAGTCCTTTTCCGCCGATCCGTCTACATACATAAAAGAGTTTAAGTACCTCACTCAAACTTATGACCTCACCTGGCATAACATTAGGGTCATCTGCACCTCCACCCTAACGGCCGAAGAACAAGAGCGTATTCTGGCTGCCGCCCGGCACCAGGCAGACAAAGATCATGCCATAGACAATCAAATTCCTTTAGGCCCTGAGGTTGTCCCCAATGAGGACCCGCAGTGGAATTATCAGGCAGGTCGGGGCTCTGATATACCCAGGCGGGACCGCATGATACGGTATCTCCTTCGAGGAATGGATGCCGTATCAAACAAGGTAGTCAATTATGATAAATTAAGAGAGGTCATCCAACTCCCAGATGAAAATCCCGCTCTTTTCCTAGGCCGCCTACAAGAAGCTCTAGTCCGATATACTCGGCTAGACCCTACATCCCAGAATGGGGCCACTGTCCTAGCCTCTCATTTCATTTCCCAATCTGCCCCTGATATCCGAAGAAAACTAAAGAAGGCGGAGGAGGGCCCCGAGACTCCCATCCAAAACCTGGTAAAAATGGCCTTTAAAGTCTTCAATGCCCGAGAGGATACGGCGGAAGCTGCACGCCAGGCCCGCCTAAAGCAGAAAGTGACACTTCAAACCCAGGCCCTAGCGGCGGCCCTGCAGCCTGCGGGGCCCCAAAGGCTCAAATCTGAATCCCGCGCCCCCCCCCGGGGGCCTGCTTTAAGTGCGGGAAGGAGGGTCACTGGTCTATGGCCTGCCCCCAGCCACGGGCCCCAACGAAGCCTTGCCCTATTTGCCATCTCGAGGGACACTGGAAATCGGACTGTCCTAACTTCCCCAGGGTACCGGTTCCTCAAAACCAGCACACTGGGCGGAAGCAGTCGACGCCCGTCCCCGGATGGGAGACGCCTGTAAGTCAGGAGTCCACCTCTGGGGAGTCTCCACTTCCCCATTTAATGGGCCCGTTGGACAATTAGTGGGGCCCTGTCTCTTTGACCCCAGTTACCCTCGCTGAGCCTAGGGTCACTCTACAGGTAGCGGGTAAAAGTGTCTCCTTCTTGCTGGATACGGGGGCTACCTTTTCTGTCCTCCCTTCTTTTTCGGGCCCTATTATCCCTTCCCAGGTCTCGGTTGTGGGAGTTGACGGAACCCCCCAAGTCCCTAGCCAAACTCCGCCACTCACATGCTCTTATGCCTCTGTCCCGTTTACTCACTCCTTCCTGGTAATTCCAACCTGCCCAGTGCCCTTACTAGGACGGGACATTCTCTCCAAGCTAAATGCCAATATTACCCTCTCCCCCACTGCCCAGTGTAACCTCCTTCTTTTGGCACATGTCCCAGAGCACACACCCACAGCGGATTTGGCCACGCTACTCCCTGAAGTAAATCCCCAAGTCTGGAATATCAACAGCCCCACTGTGGCCGCCCACCATCGGCCTGTTAAAATTTTCCTCAAGAAATCCGCTCCCAGGTTTCTATCTCATCCCCAATTCCCCATCTCCAAAGCCCACCGCCTCGGGCTCCATCCTATAATTGAACGGCTCAAAAGCCGAGGCCTTTTAATCCCCACCAATTCCCCATGCAACACCCCCATCCTTCCTGTCCGCAAACCCTCAGGACAATATAGGTTAGTTCAGGACCTGTGTCTCATTAATGAGGCAGTCATACCTATACACCCAGTCGTTCCAAACCCCTATACGCTACTCTCTCATGTCCCTCCAAACACCACGTGCTTCTCGGTTTTGGATCTTAAGGATGCTTTTTTTACCATTCCCCTCGACCCAAGCTCATACTTTATCTTTGCCTTCACTTGGGATGATCCCCTCACGGGTGTTTCCCAGCAGCTCACGTGGACAGTTCTCCCCCAGGGATTCAGGGACAGCCCTCACCTGTTTGGGCAAGCGCTGGCCTTGGACCTACTCAACTGTAACCTCACGCCCTCTTCTGTCCTCCAATATGTAGATGATTTACTGGTCTGCTCCCCTAGTCGCCCTGAATGTATACGGGCCACCACCATCCTTCTTAATTTCCTACATGACAAGGGGTACCGAGTGTCCCCTAACAAGGCCCAGGTGGCCTCATCTTCAGTCACCTACCTAGGCTTACAGCTCACGCCTGGGAAAAAATCCATCACGGTCGACCGGTTACAGGCTCTTAAGGCCCTCCAGGCCCCGCAGTCAGCTCAGGAAATACTTTCCTTCTTGGGACTGGTTGGGTTCTT